TAAAAGAAGAAAACCCATGTTTCAATAATTTTGATTTACAATTTTTTGTTGTTTTTAGTGGAACACCATCTGTACTGAAAAGCACATGACTGTATCAACATAAGCTACCCTGTATTTGCCTTCTGTTTTCCAGTCATGTGAAGAATCCTTTACCTGCATGAAGCAGGTATTATACAGAAGGAGGAACTCCAACTATTTCTTACACACATATAAGCCTTGAAAAAAAAAGTTGTGTTTTGTGTCTTTCGGAGGACGATAAATCATTGCTGCTTTTTCCACTTAGTCAAATATGTGTATATTTCAGCTTCAAATCGAGACATTTGTAGTTTTAAAAACAAGGACATGCATCTCCCTTCGCAGTCTCTGTCTCCCTCTAGTGTCTACATGTAATATAGGAGCAAACGTCGAGATGCAAGTTTGTTATATGCTTAGTACAACTGTGCAAGTTATCTTTTTTTTTTTAATTTTCTGAACTAAAGTGGGTGATTTTAGCTGAAAGCAGAATAGCAGAGGGAGGCATTTTTTCTTGTTATTTGATCAAGTACATGTGACTTCTAAAGTTGTTGCTTTTTTGTTTGTTTGTTTGTTTTGAAATAGAGATGGATTTTAGGATTTTATTCATAGTCAAAATGTTACTCTGTAAAGTAACTTTAAAGGAATACTTTAGTCGTTTTCACTCACTGATAATAATCCTGCTAAGAATCATTTTGCTGTATTCAGCTAAAATAGTACTTTAACTGTTTATACAATAAATTCCAAAAGTTCCAGAATGCCAGTTTCACTTTCAATTAAATAATTATTTCTAATACGTTTTTATGTCTTATGTAAAAAAAAAAAAAAAAAGGGTGATGGCATTGCGTGATAATAGATGTCCTTCTCCAAAGATGAATGTTGTATAATGTAAAAGCTATGCTTTGTCTTGGAAACAATAATAAAGCATCACTAAGCCATGTAATAACGTCAGATGGGCTGTTTATACATTGTAAATTAATATGTCTACAACAACAAAACCTTGTAGACATTTATTATGATGGAATTCTTGGTCTGGGTCAAAACGGACCCGAAACATACCAGGCATGTATCTGCATTTACCGGGCAGGTAGCCAGCAGCTGCAGCAGGTACATATTGCTTTTGGCCATAAGATGTCACTATAAAATTAAAACAATCACAAGCCAGTGGCAGGAACTACAGTTTATTTTTTGTACCCATACTAATTTTACATACGCAGGTAACACTTCATTCAACTATCATAAAATCTCTGTTACACACTATCTATTAGTTTTTACCGAGTATAGTATAACTGTTTAAATGATTAATGCACACGATTTTAATTTAGGGTTTTTAGAGATATGGTCATCATTACGTTAATAGAGTGAGAAAGTGCAACATCAGTGCTTCAGTTAACATGATGGCAAAAAACCACGTAAAATGGGTATTTTGTTTATGAATGACATTAAAAACAAAAAATGAGGCATTACTGTTCATTATTGTTCGAGCTATTTGGAGCATGGTTGGCACACCGTGCCAGGACAGAGTGGGCTATTCCTGGTGAGGTGGAAGGTGCTCTTATTTTGAAGCCACAGAGTATTATAGAAACCATGCCTTTTATTTTGAAGTTCCGTATCTCCGGCTCTCCGGGCACGGGCAGGGAGAGAGAGTCGCAGGCAGAGGTAAGCCAGAGACGGTACGGTGTGGGGCTGTAGCTACGGTGTCAGCGGCAAGTATGAGAGGAGACAAGTTTACGAGCTGAAGCTGGCTGATTGACAGCCTCTGTCGCATTCTGTGGAGGGACCACTTGTACCGGCGGACGTCGAGAAGACGCGGTGTAGCCTGTGCGACTAACAAAACCTAAACTAAACCTTTAAAAACAACTGGTGGACACACGGGGTTTGTGGATAGACGTTGGCAGCGGCGGCGGCGGCGGCAGGAGCAGGGAGAGAGTGTGAGTGCTTTGGCGGCGTTCCCGCTGCTAGAGAAACATGAACAAAAACCACCGAGTGCCGAGCAGCCGTTCTCTGAATGCAGTGGAGGTGAAGAGCAAGGTGGGTACGGACACTTATTTGTCAGGTATCCTTCCAGTGTTTGTACTCCAGACAACCTTCGTCCTCATTAAATCCACTCTTGCTAATTTAGCCTGCTAAAGAGGCTTGATAGCGGGTTATTATGAAGCAAGGCTTATAAACTTTAAGAGGAGCTAACAGTTTTGGTTTTTTTCCACTGTGACCACCCGAGAATTTGGTTACAATTCTTAAAACTTTATTGGTAACTGTGGCGTAGTTTTTTGGTCGTTTTACGTCTAAAGGCTAGCTAGTTTGTGACAAGGTGGAAGGTTTTTGTCAGCTGACTGCGCAGTGAGCCAGTGTCACCTGTCACAGCCTTCTCCGCCTTACTCTCCTGCTCGTTTACCGAGTACTGACTTCAAGTTTGACCCAACTCTTTAACTTAATCAAATCTGCGTGAAAAGTTTACTCAAATTACCAAAAGTTTATGTCAAATTACCTCGGTTAAAGGTGATAGTCGTTGCCTGTCGCGTTATTTGCCTGCGGTTACAGGTGTCACACGGCCTGCGTCAGGCTCGTGGCTCCATCCGCGCCCTGCTGAGGCTTGACCACACATAAGTGTAATGAATAATGACTATATTGTTCTAGAAGTTTTTGCACGCGTCGACACAAGCTGTCAAATATTTTCAGCTACAGCACTAATTTTGCCTCCCTACAGTAGTGCAATAACTATTGTTATTATTTACTCAGCTATCCCGGGTTATTTAAATTCTTTTGACTCTTCTGAGTTAAGATTGTCTTCCTTATGTCCCCAACCACTTATTAAATTAACTCTGCTTTGCACTGATGCATAAAATAACTGATTAAGCTGGGAGATCATCTTATGTCAGCGCTGAGCAACAGTAACCACAACAGCTGGTACCTCTCACTAACGCTACCAATGAGGCATTGTGCTCTGTCTCAGCTACAGAGCTGCCTAAAGATTAGGCGTCCAGAGCCATTGATCCAGTCAGTCCACAGGCTTAAACAGGTAAACCAGCAACATGTTTGTGGGGATTGCTGAAAGCACACTGTCTTTGTAATAGCTGCAGGATAAATATTCTGTGAGGTAGCTTGATAAAAGCTTTATCTGCAAACCTAGAGATACACAAAACACGTGAATAATTTACCACACGTGGTGTGCTTTGGCTTACGCATCACTACAAAGTAGGCTTATCAGGCACTGTTTCATACCCTGGTTTCGGCCATACGTCACACCTGTGTGTGTATTTGTGTGTTCATTTGCAATCACATGTGAACGCCTTTCTGCCCCATCCCAGTTTGGTGCAGAGTTTCGTCGGTTCTCTCTGGAACGGTCCAAGCCAGGCCGCTTCGATGAGTTCTACGGTCTCCTGCAGCACGTGCATCGCATCCCCAATGTGGAGCTGTTGGTGGGCTACGCTGACGTGCACGGTGACCTGCTGCCCATCAACAATGACGACAATTACCACAAGGCCATCTCTACAGCCAACCCTCTACTCAGGCTGTTCCTCCAGAGGAAAGGTATGCACAGAGGAAGTGTTTGGACAAAGTGTCCCAAGTTTTCATTTGTTTGCTTGGTTACACCTGCTTTGCATTGGAAATGCAAATACAGTCATTAGCATTGAAAAGCACAGCTTAGAAATATGTGATAGGCTATTGACTATAGCTGTGACAGAGTTATAAAAACTTAAGTGTCACTTTACATTGTCAGTTTTTAGGCTACCTGTTGTATGTTTCCATGTTCAGCTAAACAAACTACTAAACCGCTGGCCTCTATTTTTTTCCTTATTGATTTCTAGTTAACTAAGGTTAGGGGCCTTTTCAATTCAATTCAATTTTATTTATATAGCGCCAAATCACAACAAAAGTTGAGAGGAAGAATGCACTTGAAATGAGGAGCTGAGCAAAACAACAAGAGTAGACGAATGGAGTTCACTTTGAGTTTGTCCAGTAGACTGTTCTGTATTGCAGCTTGGTAGCTGCATGGCAATTATTTTTTTACGTGTCTGACTGTTTTGGAAATACGGGTTTCAAGTATTTCGAGCAGTGTTTCTGTAAACACTGCTGCTGCAGTTTCTAACTTCCTTTGCTGGCTCTGGTGTAATCATTGCCAATATTTCTGCCATAATTGCTCTGCTTTTGCAGTTCCCCTTGTAGATAAGTTTTTTATCTTTTAGCTAATAAAGGAAGAAGTTGTGGCTGCTCTAAATTCATGCTCTCAAGTATGGCTTACCTTTATTTCATGTGTATGATTACTGCAGGTCTTACTATATCAACCTTGGTGTCTGATATTGGCATATTGCCAATTAACATGGCATTTACTGATGTCAGTGGTCGACGTTAATATGTTCTGTCTCCAAGATGTCACACGAGCTAAGTGATTGTGTTACAAAAAACTGAAAGGGTCAGGTTTTTTTTTTTGTTGTTGTTATCATGGAGTAAATGAGGTATAAGCAAGAGCAAAAGTAAAGTAAATAGATTTGAAAACAAAATGCTGCTGTTGGCCCATAATTTCACAATCAGTGTATCCATAGTGATTACATAAACATGTTTCTGTCAGAGTATGCGTACAAAGGTTTAACCTCTCCTTTGATTTTGGAGTGTATTCCTAATCACTAAGTTGCTAAATGTGACCTGTTGAATGTGGGGAGGACCACAGGGTCTGCCTGTGCCTGTTGTGTTTAAGCCTGTGCCATATGACCCTATAGAAGCTAAGCCACTTTGTCAGAAGAAGATTAGTGGGGTCAGTGTGTATCGCTGCATGGGACTGTGTTTCAATTACATGCTCCAGACACTAGCCCCACACTGGGCTCACTGCTGCTCACATGAAAAACGCATGAAAACACCGCCTCGGCAGGAATCCCAGCCAGAACAAAAACAGAAGACAGACGCATTAATGCAGTCATAACCCCCTGCAGACCCCCTGACCTGAAACCCTGGTTTCCCTCCTGATTTGTCAGCAGGGAAACCCCCTTACTTTACCGTTAAGCACCAGTTGGTCTGAACATATAAAGCTGTGCATTGTGTGGAAGCAGCAAATTCGCAGCTTATAGATAATTTATTAAATCATATATCTGCAGGCACTGGATCTCATCCCTGATGATGGCTCTATAACAGGTTAATGGCTTGTCCATGTTGGGGCCAATGCGGAAGCTTTTTAACACTCAGTGCTTGTTTATCTGGAAAGCTTCTTACATCTTTTAGAACCCCGATCTTTTTGAAATGAGATGTCTTGTGTTCCATTTTGGATAAATAGTATTACTGAACTTAATGATCTTGTTACCATATCTGCATGTGACCCAACAGCCAAATGAAAAATCTTCATATGAACAGATAGTTATAAATAGCATAAGGATCATGAGGTCATGATCCCTACCACAGTGTTTAGTTGTGTTTGTGTTTAGTGTACCTCACTGCATCAGTTCAGAAGTTTAGCAGTCCAGTCATCAGTTCAGTTCGAATGCTATTAGACTTCTGTGTCCTTTAAGACTGCAACTGAGTAATTATGTAAATGTCTCAGTCAGATGTGATGTGATTGGTCATTATTGCATAAGAGCAAGGCTTCAGACAAAGTTGCAGTGGGGGCCAAATTATGTTCCAACTAGGCTGGTGTGGAATAGTGCAGTGAAATCCTGCTGAACTTGGACTGGGAAAGAAAACTTGGAGCTAAAAGAACAAAAAACTGCCCACAATCTCCACATTCAGGGATTTGGATGATTTGTGTGTTTATTTTAAAAGTGTGTCTAGTCTGTGCACTGTAGAGCTCATGCGTATAATGAGGGTTATTTTTGGCACTGAATTTTATTTGTCTCAGAGACTAAATCTAGGCTGTGTATACCCTAGGCTGGGCGCTTTAGGTTTCATCCACTCGTCAGCGTGCAGATGGTTCGATGGATACTAGGCTGCAACTGTATGTAGTTGTCTGGTTGTTAAATAATGGCTACATTGTTGTTTTTCTGCCTCTGTGCTTTTCAGCCATTAATGTCTTATTGTTCACTGCTGAGAAATGGCTGAAATGTTTGTGCCTCTGTTTTTGACTACTGGTCATTTTTGAAATCGCTTCAACGCACAACAAATACAACCCAGCAGCACTGGGTATTCCCTGACACCCTCCACCCCCACCCCTCCATCTGTGAACAATGTGTTGATGACTGTTGGGCTGGCAGTGAGTTGTCCACTGTTTACTGGTTGTCATGGCACCCCTAAAGAGGCCTGCTCATAGGTGGATTAATGCTGCAAAGCATGCTGGGAGCATGATTGCTAGCATTTGCAAAGACTGTCTTTGTTGAGGTTTTTTGACGACTTCACTTGTTATTAATATATCTCATGCAGTTGTAACTACTTAGAGGTGTGTCTCTCTCTCTCAGAGACTATGTATAAATGATAATGGGTAAAGTTGGGTTAAAGTGAGTGAGTTAGTGATTAATGCTATTAGTTGTTCTCATGTAAGCACTTTCTGTCTTGGTTGCTGACAAAGTGCAGCTTTTGGTTTCATTTAGGCTTTTTGTATCATGTGCAGCCATGTAGGATGGTGCACTGTTCTGCTGGAGGAGACAGCTGCCATCAAGGAGTGTTGCTGCCATAAACAGGTGTGCCTGGTATGCACATTAATTAGATGGGTTGTATGTGCCAAATTAACAGTTTTATGAATGCCAGATTTCCCAGCAGAAACATTACACTCCAACCAGATAAGCAACAAGATAATCAGCCTGTTTCACGTCACCTCTTAGTGGTTTTAATTCAGTGTGTAGCCTAGCCTGTACTACATTATTAACCTAATACCACCACTCTTATAAAGTAGTAAAACAAATTGTGCACTGATGTAGGTGTATTCGCAGTAAGACCGTTTTAGCCAGTACATCTGCCTGGATGCCTCATTATTGTAGCTCTGTTTTACATTTTCAGAAGCCCCAGGATGTTTCAGTCTTGAACTGCTCCAGTTTATAGTTGGGTTGCAACTTGCTCAACAAAATGATGTGCTATTTCAGTGGTTTTGTTGGCCTGTGTATATTGAGTTAGCATTATTATTAAATACTTCTTTTCAGGGAAACAGGAAAATGAGACACACGTTCAGCCTTGTGTTTAATTGTCTTTAAACATGGCTGACAGAAGAAGTTCTCCCTCAGTTTGACAACACGTTTGTCTGTATCAGTCATCCAGAACGCCTTTTGTGCTTGTATGCACACAACTTTCAGAGTGTCCAGGTCGTCATCCATGTAGCAGTAGCAGCTTTCAGGCAATCCCAGGGTGTGTGTTTGTTCAGTGATGTTGCTCACTGCTCTCACAGTTTCAGCTCCTAACTCTTATCCATTAACGTAAAGGGGAAAGGTATAGGGAGGGACAGAAACGACTGTATTTGTGTTTCCCAGCAGGGATTGCCTTTTAATTAGTAACCAGTGAATGAGTCACCCAGCCAGAGATGGAATATGTTCAGTGTGAAAGTACACCTAGCCTGCAAAACATGCAAAGTCTCTGAATATGATAAGAACTTGAACCTGAATCTGCTCGGCACTGACAGGGAGTGATAATGAAAGTGCACTGAGACAGACATGGAGTGGGAATGTGACATTCACAGAAGAAGAAAGGAGAGATAGACTAAGCATAGGATTTCAGATTAAGTAAGGACACCACAACTAAAAAGATGCACTTTTACTGTGGGTTTGAATAGAAAGGATATGCTGAAGAGAGATATGGTGGCAGGTGTGAAGGATGCCATTTCCCTGAGGAGCTCTTTCTGTAAAAATAACAGAAATTAGCCACCCTTGATTTGGATGTGAGGTTTTCTACAGTGCATGATGTATTCCCCAGGATGCTGTCTGTGATGAGTGAGGGGATGATGAATTTGTAGATCTTAAGGAAGAATGTGTGGAGGAGGAGCAGAACTTGAGCTTAATAAGAGATTGGAGGATGAAAGAGAGAGGGACAGTAAACAGTACTAAAGAGGGAGTAATGTATAAGGCTTTGTTTGGGCAATGCATGTAATTAGAGATGTGGGGAGATGAGAGGGAGTAGTGTTAGTGCGATCGGAATGCAACAAGAGGTAGCAAGAGAGGGAATAAGTGAGTGAGGGAAGAGGATAGTGGGAATAGTATTAGTGAGGGAGGAATGTAGAGTGAGGCCCACGCTGGGGAGGGTGGGTGAGAGAGAAAGAAATGGAAAGGAAGAAGGGAGGAAGATTGAACGGAGGGGGGTTTGGTGGAATGTGGCCAGCTTCTGATCACGTCTGCTGGGTAGATTAGACAGGACAGCAGGCCAGGCTGGACCCTCAGCTCCACAGCTCAGCTCAGTCAACAAGGTAGACAGAGGAAGAGCAGAGAAAGGATAAGGAGATCAAATAAAAGTAAGCAGGGACATGGAGGACAGAAATGAGAGAGGTGAGCCAGATCCCTGCTCGGTCTCTCCTTTGAAACCTGACTGAATGAGACTATGCAGGCTGCAAGCAGATGGAGGAAGAGCAGTGGTGACAGCAGGAGGCCAGGCTCTGTTATATAGAGGCTGTCAGAATTCTCAGCTTAGGGTTG